AGGCTGGGGAGGGGAGTTTCAAAGCCTTAGACTGGAAGCGCAGGGAAGCTAGCTTCGCGGGGAGCTCTGGTGTGAGGTCTTGTGGCTCGCTCTCAGAGGCTGTCTGGAAGCCTGGGATGATGACCACTTTTAGACAACAGTCTTGGGAAATTACTGCTCACTGCAGGACTAGGGTGCAGGAAGGGATGGCAGGCGCCATCCTTCTGGGCCTGGCGAGGGGTTAGTGGAACCCAGAGGCAGACACAATACATTTAGTGTTTCAGTGTGTTCTTGAATTGCTTCGTGGGTGAAAATCAAAGGGGGAGGTCTGCACCTGTGCCTAATACACTAAATCTATTTTTAGAACTCATCCTCCCAGTATTGGCCTCCTTACTTTTTCATTTTCTGGTCTGGCAGCAGGAACGACGGGAGGGTGATTCGACCTGGATGCCATCTTGATTCCCCAGTCCCATATACTATTTCTTGAAATGATTAAATATCGACCGATTAGTTTTGATTTAGTGACTTTTCATAAATAATGTTCATTTGATTCCTGTATAAACTATAGGAAGCCATTGCTTTAAAAAGTGATTGTCAACCTTGGCATATGCAAGATGGCAGCAGAGATTCAGTGAGAATCAATTTTATTGATGCCATTTAACTTACTAAGTGATAAATCATAATTATTAATAAATAAATGGAAAGAAAATGCTTTAAAGTGCTATGGTTCTTATCCAGCAGTAGCAAATGCAGATTTAGGGAAGAACAAATGATATGTACAGGAGTGCTTCATAGGAACCCTTGTGGCATAGTGGTTATGAATTAGGCTGTGATCCTCAAGGTCTAAATTTTGAAACCAAAGGTCAGTCACTGTGTGGGAGAAAGATGGATCTTTCTACTCCTGTACTGACTTACAGCCTCAGAAACTCAAGGTGAAGTTCTACCCTTCTTATAGGTCACAATAAGTGGCATCAACTAGATGATAATGAGGTCTTACAATAGTACTTCAGAAAATAGGATCAGGCGTGTGTCTCACATCGACATCAATGATGAAATCGTCACACAAATAGACAATATAACCCCCCAAAAAGTGTGAACTAGCAATATAAAGATGATAATGGTAATGATACTAAAAACCTACTCCTAGAAAAGTCTGAAACTGTAAGTAAAAGACAGGTTTTAAGGGTTAGAAATTCTTTGAAGGACTTTGATGAAGTCAAGGAAGAGGAAGAGTTCTTTGAGTAGACTTAGAAATAAATTCATCAATAAAATTTCTCAATAAATTCATCAGAAATATATTTGATTAAATAAACAGTTGATGCTAGATATTTTTGCAATACAGTCTGTGAAAGCTGAAGGCAGAAATCTTCAGAGAAGGAAAACATAACTGTTTTCACTTTAAACTGAGCGCTAGAAAAGTGGCAGGACCAGGTGGAGGACTGTGAGACACAGGAAAGGAAGGCAGCCTCTCTGAGTTCTACTTCTCCTGGTCCTCTTTGTATTAAAAAAAACCCCACTTTTAGCCAACGTCTCTGTTTGATGAGTATATGCACATATCTGGATTTAATTTGAGTAAACATGAAAATCATTTTTAAAAATGTTAAGTTTCTTTCCCTGTTCTCCAAAATAAAAAACAAGCACTTTCTGGGTGCTTATGGGATACGTCTTAATAGAGTGTGAGAGAAGGGTGGTAACAATGAGCTCTATCAAAGGCAGAGATGTCGCAAGACCCGGAAAAAAACGAGCCCCTGCTGTTAAGTGGCAGCTTTCACAGTATAAAAATGTAAAATTCTAAAAAAAAAAAGCGGTTCATAATTGAAGGCCAAGTTCTCTCTTCATGAGAGGTGAGTAACAGTGGCACCATAACTGGCAACAATCAGCAGATCCAGGACGAGTCAGACTGTCATTCATCTGACCTCGGGTGTGTCGCAGTTAAAACCAGAAAGTCCCAGGAGGGAGAGATGCAGACGTTTTCTCTTACGTCTCTTGGTTTTTACATGAGTGTCCTACATGCTTTTCTCTACCCAGTAGATCAAAGTAAGTAGATCATTATGCTGATTATTATTATTATGACTATGAAACATAGTACATTTAAAATTTGCAGTTTAAGTTGGAATTCTAAAACTAGCACATGGTCATTAGTTTTTCAAAAGTAATATTGTTAAAAACCCATTTTATTATTAAATGATATACCGAAAATTTTTTAATATTTTAGACTCACGCTGAAGAATTGGCATCACTCTCAACCAAAACTGATCCCTATAACTTAGATGTATGATTCATTTTATAATTTGATAAAAATGCTGTCAATCTCCAAGGTATACTTTTTAGGAAACAACTGATATTGAGGCAAAACCTAGGAGTTCCATGTTCTGGTTTCTATATTAAATGTCTAAGCTAAATGTCATAACTTAATACATTAAGCTATGTTTCTTCCTTTAAGGAGTCTTTATCGTTTAGAATTTATACAGTGATATCACCTCTTTGAGGACTAAATGAAAAGTTAAGTTCTTCTCAGGGGGAAAAAAAAGGATGGTTTGATAAAATACTACAAGATAGTAGAAAATGCGGGAAAAATAATTAAATTTCTACTCGTGAAAGAACATTCAAGGTCAATAAGTGAATTCAATCAATTCAAATAAAACCACATTCAAACACAAGGCAAGTCTAACAACCTTAGCCTTTAAGAAATGGTAAAACTTCTTCTTCCAGGAGTAATTCGTGGTCTGGGGTCTGAAAGTGAGTAAAACAGATGGCCATAGGACAAAGAGAACAACATGTGTCTTTCGTTCTGACTCTAGTCCATCCCATTTCTATCCCCTTCGCTGACCAGCTGAGTAACACCATAACCTGCCAGCCTGCTCAGGTTCTCAGAGGAAGCTCCAAAATGTGCCTAGGGCTCATAGGTAGATGAGAGAGAGTCATCCAAGATGCATGGGGAATATTAATGTTAGGTATAGAAGCAAGGAGAGCTTTCTTAGCAACACCTGTCACACAAACTTAGAAATTTAATCAGAATAACATTAGTAGACTACAGTTCACTGAGGAGTTAAGAAAATAATTTTCATAAGAATAAATTACTGCTTGACTTTATATGTCTCCTATTATCTTCATCACATTTTAAACAATACTCATGAAGAGAAGTGGTTTAAGAAGAGAGACACTATTCAATCTCTCTATACTAACGTAACAAGCATTATGTGATAAATACATCAGTCTCGATGTGTATAATTGAAAAGCCATCGATTCCTAGAAACCATTTATTCAGACAGAAGCAAACATAATATTTTCCTTCATTATCATCCTTATGGAGCTCTGGTGGCAGAGTGGCTTCCATGTTGGGCTGCTAATCCCGAATCACCAACTGCTCCGAGGGAGAAAGATGAGGCATTCCACTCCTGTAAAGAGTGACAGTCTCAGGAACCCACACGGGGCAGTTCCACCCTGCCCTGTAGGGTCACTATGAGTCAGAAGAGAAATCGAGTGTGTCTGCCTGAACTTCTTTGGCATGAATTTCTTTGGTAAGCAATGTAACGCATGTATTCATATATCTCACTTGTCTAAGATAAGGACATGGAGGGACCCCTCTTGCTTTCTTGTCACTCACGCCAAGCTCTAGCATTACAAATGTAAACATGGAAGCAATTCGATAAATTCCATAAACCACCAATTTTCACTGGCCTTCAGTTTTAAAATTAAAGAAAAAAGTATTGTCCTGATGCATGGACAAAAATATTGCAATCAAGTCTACTTTGCCGCATATGGTTGCATCTTCATAGAAGTAGATTGTCACATAATTCTTCCACATAATAGATGTCACACTGAGTTGCTTTGAGTCAAATATTGACTTCAAAGTCCCCAGCAACAGTGGTTCATTATTACCTATCCAAGCGAAAGATAGCAACTTTTACCAGATTCATCTTCATCTAGAAGAAAGCACCTGGAAATAGGGTTCTTTTAGTCAATCTATCTAGCACCAAGAAAACCATGTGATGACAGATTCCTGCCTCATTCAGACACCTCTTTTATTCAAGTGCTAATAATACAATAAAAACACAGTAATGAGCAAAGTACCATTGGGGTAGGAAATAATCAGAATAACTCAAAAGAGACACCAACTGAAAACCCAGGAAAGATTATAACTCATTTTAATAAACATGTTGCTTTGAGCATAAGAGTCCTGGTGAGGATCGGACTGGCAACACCAGGTCAATGGTTCAAACTCACCAGCTCCTGCGTGGGAGGAAAGTGAAGCTAACTGCTCCTGTGAAGATTTAGACACCCTAATTCATGCCCTAACACATAGGGCATTCAAAATTGGAGTCCATTCAATGTCTCTGAGTTTTGGTTTTACTGTTTTGAACAAGCTAGAACATGATGGAATATCAAGCTCACACATATTACATGATGGTATATCAAGCTCACACGTATTACATGCATGTGCATGTGTCATACGTGACAGTAAATTGGCATTAATAACAAGTCTGTAATAATAAATAACATCTGTACTTAGACTTGTGTGTAAGTCTAAGGAGCTACTTACAAACTCACCACACTTGTTAGCTTAAGGATTTCTAATGAAAATAGTATGCTTACATATCACACTGCTTTGAATATGAGCTTTTCAACTGTAAACTATGTAACTTACAAGCAGTTACACTTATTAGAATACCCAAATCAACACCCTTTTAATTAAAAAAATCCTCTGAAATTACTATTCTTTTATTCAGTTTTATTCAAAAAGGGCAATAAAATGTTTTTAAACTGTGCATTCATTACAATATGTATGGTTTTTATTCCTAGAGAGTTAGGATTTAGGAACTAGATGGAGATAGCAATGAGGATAAAGACAGAGACAGGGACAGAATAGGACCAGGAAGGTACAGCAATAAAAATATTTATAGAATGAAACAGAAGCAGGGTTTTTTCACATAGCACCTTTGAGGAGACAAGGGGAACAGTATTTAAATAGATTAAACATTGTAAACAAATCTTAATAACCAAAGTAGAAAATATCTTACCCTAAAAAACTCTTTTGTGGAGCCAGAGTCTAATGTTCCATAAGCAATTTCTGTTTGCTTAGAAAGGTCTTCAGCACTTTCGATGGGAGACACCATCCTCTCTACGGTCAGGAAGGCAGCTAAGTTAGCCGTGTAGGATGAGATTATGATCAGGGTAAAGAACCACCACACACCGCCAACAATGCGCCCAGAGAGGGATCTAATAACAAGTATGAAATGGATTTGTACAGTGAAATAAAGGACCTAATAGAAAATCAGTTTAGCAGTTTTATGCAAATATTGCGTTGTAAGGGGAATTTTCTTTTTATACATTTCAATATAGCTGCTAGCTAATTAAACCAGAAATTATTAGATATTACGGGTAAGGGGTACAGATTAGCTAAATTTGATGGCAAAAAAACGGAGAACAAAATTTTGGAGTCCAGAAATTCTTTCATCATTAAAATAGTCAAATAGTTTATGGTTTCAAGCATTATAAGATTTTTAAGAATTCTCCAAATAGCACATCTAATACCCATTCCACTTTATTTACCGATGCATAAGTAGATTTGAACCAGAGAACATTAAAACAGAATTCAAATTCAGCACAAGGTATAAAAATAAAATGAAAAAACAATTAAGGTTTTTTTTTTTTTTAGCTTTTAGCATGGAAGAAATCTTCCATTTAATTCCATTAACGAAGTTCAAAAACTCTCAAAATGGCCCAAAACTTCATTTTGTGTGTGTGTGTGTGTGCCAAAATAAAAATATCAGATAAGTGCATGATACAGAAAATTAAAACAAAATGGAACTACAAAGATGTGAAACAAAATGTAATTCTGAATGAACAAAAAAATTGATGCTTCAGAGCATGGATGCCTGTCATTCTGTTCCATTGGACTTCCTGCTCAAGGAAAAATGAATTAAACTGTTCTCAAGCTTATCAAGATACAAATTCCTGCCTGGGGATATAATAAAATGACAAAATTTTAAAGGCTATACATTTTTATAGAAGATATCCCAAAGATTAATGATTCTCAAATGATTTTCTTAAAATGTCCAGATAGATAAATGTAGATTTCGTGTCTACTGTTATCTGTGGGACCTAATAGTGTCGTCCCATAGCCTGTAATTACAGTCACAGCTTCTCGCTGAGCAGATGGTAGCTTTAAACTGGCAACATTTCAGTTAGCCATCAAGGGCTTTAATCATTGTGCAACCACGATATTCCGTGTGTGTGTATACACATATATATTCCATTATTTGGAAAGATTTGGTTGGCCTCTGCACATAATTAGGGCACTTGAGTCACATCAACCAGTGAAATGTCTAGTATTTTTTTAAAATACAATAACTCTATGATGTCTAACAAATAGGCTTGCTAACATTTCTCAAATTGAAATCACCAGAAGCTGGTAATGTGTTAGCTAAACAAAAGTCCCTAACAATTAACTGCAGTGAATGATCATCTTTAATTCAGATACTAAAGCACAGATATCAAATCAAATACGTGAGTACAATATCTCAAATAAACTCAAGTAGTCAATAAAGATATGACAAAATACCCATTTATAAACTATCAAGGGCTTATGCAGGAGGGGGGAGCGGGGAGGGAGGGGAAAAATGAGGACCTAATGTCGGGGGTTTAAATGGAGAGAAAATGTTTTGAGAAACGATGTACAAATTTGCTTTACACAATTGATGTGTGTATGGATTGGGATAACAGTTGTATGAGCCCCTAATAAAATGTTAAAAAAAAAAAAAAAGTAAATGGACATTAGAAATAAAATTCTTTAGATTAGAAATTGATCTAAACATTGAAAGGTTTGACTTTACATTAGAAGTAAAGTTCTTCACCGAGAGAGAGCATCTTAATGATAAAAGAGATACAATATGATTATGAGCTTTTATCATAAACTCACTAAGATATTCAAAGAAAGAAAGAAATATGATAGAGTTTAAAAGGTTAAAGACTTCTCATGTTTGCAAAGAATATTGATGGACATATTTAAATTTTGAAAAACATCTTATTTTTTTTTCTGAAAATGCAGAATTTTATTTAGAAACTGTTTAAAGTAGGGAAAAAAGCCCTTATCAAGAAAGAGTAGGTGAAAAATGGGTCACTAATCAGCTGGAATTTTAGGGCAACAAAGGTCTAAAAGGCTGAGAAAGAGAAATTGCCCCACTGTCATTTAAACAATGCTGATTACTTGTCTTTTGCTTTTCTTCAGCTACAACCATTTTGAAAATAAGGAGTTCTGGTGCTGCTGTCGGGTAACTTTGGAATGGTAATCGAAATCTCTGTGGTTCCAAACTACCAAAGTTTCTGCAGGAACAAGATGAGGTTATCTGCTCCTGTAATCAATTACAGTCTTGGAAACCGTAAAGGGTCGCTGTGAATCAGAATCCACTCCATGACAGCAAATAGGATTCTTAAAATGTTCACTATTTATTCCATAACAATGGGAGGTATAATACGTGCACTCTGTAAGCGGGCAAGTTGAGTACTTGAGTAATTAAATCCCTTCAAAGAAAATATATGATAATTGCTTTTGACTCTTTAATCAGTTTGTTAATAAAGACTACATTTGGCAATTATGTTTGTAAGCACTTCCGTTTAGCTTCCCAATAAAAACATAATGTCTTCTATTCCAGAACTTAAGTCAAATTCAATGAAGATAAAATTTAATGAAATTAATATGTCGATTGATTGAAATTTTACAAAGTATCTCAAGAGAAATGTATTGGACTGATAACTTTGTTCAGCAATGAGTCAGTTAAATTCTTATTTATTTGCTAATTTTCTAGAGCACATACTAATGTCCCTGAAAGAGCTCCTGAGACTTTGCACAAAACAGAAAATTCAATTTAACATTTTGAAGGTAGACAAAAAGTATTTTAAATAAAAGAATACAATTTTTACTAGCAGCCTCTGTATTTAAAAAGGCATATAAATGTAAATATACTATCATATCTTTTTAATTCCTCTCAAATGATTATCTTAAGATTTACATATGCTCTTATAGTTATTCAATTCCTTTAAAAATATTGGGGGGTATTCAGATTAAGGAATGTGAATAAATATTTTAATACATTGATTTTAACAGTATTAACAAAGCATAATAATCATGATAATATTTCAAAATGTGTTCTGTTAGTACTTTTAATCTCATTCCACATTTTATTTTCTTAGACATCATGACAAATATTTCAAAATATTTTAAAAACAGTTTATCTCATGGTATCTATGTATTCCATGCTTGTTTTAAATGGCAAACTACTACACTATTCATTTCTAAACTGGAGAAAGTAACCATCACTACATTCTAAAAGTGAAGGTTTGGTTCCTTAAAAATAGCAATATTTGTTCAGTACTATGTATTATCTTTCATTATTAAATACACATACAACATAAATTTAAAGATATAATGATATGTAACCCTTAATTTTTTTAATGTGGTGAGTATTGTCCATATATATTCAGAAAAAGAAAAAAATCAATTGATGATAAAAACAACAAATCATTTTGCCTAAAAAGCTATTTTCTAATCAGAAAATAAAAGTTGCTTCATGTAAAATTATAGTGCTTTTAACTTAGAATGAAATAAAAACAAAGACAAAATGGTCCAATTTTAGGTAGCAGGCGTGTTAACAATTAACTATCTGTATGTCATAGTGGACATTTTTATATTATCACACATAAAATATACTTATATTGCTAAATGTACCTATATACACTCCTGTTTCCCATGCTTTGTCAAGCAATGGATACCAAACAACTACCTGCAGTGTACTGCTGCATAGATAGCAGAGGAAGCAGTACTGAGGACATATGTATGGGAACCCAGGTCACTGTAGCTTATTTTCTGATGAACCTAAACACTTTCCTCTACTTACTCAAACTAAAGTGTATAAGTACTCCAAGATAATTTCCATGCATCTCAGAACTAGGCTACCATTATAGGCCAATAAACTTCTTGCGACAATTGAGCTATTTTGTTAATGTATTAGAGACCAAAAATATTCCCTGAGATCTAGTGTGGGTTAGTATTCTCTCTCTCTCTCTCTCTTCAGCATTAAAAAAGCTCTGTCTTGAATCAGATTAATTCAATATACAAATGGAACTATAAATCTTATATTTTCTTGAAGATCATTATAATGAGATGAGAGAAAATGTTTCCCAAATACCTTAGCATAGCTCTGATTTGATACATTGTCATAGGGAAGATAATAGAGGTGACCTGCTGGGATTAAGGCCCTTTTAGATCCATATAGCCAATTATTTTTAAATTTCCATACCATCAAAGAAGTAAGTCATTGATAATCTTTGCTTATAGGATATATTTACATTATCTTAGTAGGTAGAACATATTGAGAAGACAGCAAAGATACCCAGATAGATGACTGTCTCATGTAATTTTTGGAAATGAATTGCATGCTATCCCAAAAAGTACTTAGAAACTGAAGTGTAATAAAATGATATTAGAACCTGACCACTCTTTCACTAGTAACTGAAACGCATCATAATATTGATATAGATCAATGGGGCCTAAATTTAAAAGTGCTTGTAAACGGATAACATTTTAGGTTTCAAATGTTTAAGAAATCATGTTAGAAAAAACATAATTTATTCCTGAGAAGGAAACACACATTCGTGGCTATCATTCATCTTTGTGATGCAAAGGCATACATTCCTTTTCATCTAGCAAACTGACCTTAAACAAGTTAAATTTCATGTTTTTCTCCCATACTATTCTCATGAGCTAATGATGAAAAAAGTAAAGTAGATGAGATGTTTTCAATGAAGTTTTGTCCAACAAGTGGGTGTTTCTGTAGCTAATAAATCAAACTGCCCATTTTCCCATATACAGGTCTGTGACTTAACTCACAGATGTCTGTAAAATGAGAATATGCAGCAAAAACACGGTAACCCTCCAAGAAGGCATGAAATAATTGGAGCCTTATGCATTTTATAGCCTCTCCATGGTGTGTATAATATCACCCAGGAAATATGTGATCAATATTCAGAGAGCATTGTTCAAATATTTCACAGGCTTACACCAACATTAAGAGTATGTCCTTGAAGGAGTCTTGGACTGCTTGGACAGGAAGTTGACAGCTGATTACTTTGTTGAGTGAATTTATAAACACCATGAATCTCCACTTGAGACCTAAAATGCACAAAGTTGAAACAGGTGAGTAACCAACCTTGGCGAAATATCGCATCCTTGCTGCATAAAGGCACCCAAGGAAAACCAGAGACTATTAAAAATCCCAAATTCATTAGTTGATTCACTACTTTGTGTTTCTCGTCCATCTTCAAACTCCTCAGTGTGCCACTCGTAGGGGCTAAATCTGCTCACCAGGAATAAAACTACACTGACCCCAATGTAGGCAAAAACAATGCACATCCAGATCTCATAGGCTAAAGGATCAAGAAAGGAAAACACTCCTGGTTTGGACTTCTGAGGCTTCTTGATCATGATAGATATCCCGAGGCTCATAAAGGGCTTTGAGAAGTCGATCACCTCTTCTCTCACAAGGGTAATCGTTAATGGTGCAATTGCTATATCAGCTTTCTGCAAGGGAAAAAAGAAAGGTAAGAGTACCTGGAGTCAATATCAGAAACAATTTTGATCACGTCATTGGCTGAAAACAGAAGGAAGGGTAATCATGGAAACAGAAATTATTATTATTGTAGGGTTCTAGTAAAATGATTTTTTTAAAAGAAAAGAAATCAAAGCAGGCTAAAAAAAAAACTAGCTTAACAAGCTGATATTTCCAGTCATCTTTTAAGCAATATCAAAGCTGATAAAGTTGATCTTATGGAGTAAACTATAGCAAGGGTTAGTCTTAGAATTACCAATAAAATCCAGAGTCAGGTTAAAAAAAATGACTAAAATCAGAAGTCACCAAGCATCCCTCTTTTCTGTAAGAACACAGTTACCATCTAGTTTGACTATAACATGATAAATATGACTGTATATATGACTTTTCCTTCCTTTGAATAATAGAAGTGACACATAGTTTTTCAGGTAGATGAAAGGTGGAATCTCCTATCTGATCCAAACTGCATGTTTACTTCTGGCTTTAGCCTGTAATCCTTCAAATACTCACAAAGGTATAAGATCGTATTCCTAGAGTATTGTAGGAAACCAAGAACATTAGGCACTGACACTGCATGGTAGGAGACAATCTGTCAACAGTGGTTCAAGTGTAATGGCTTTATTTAGGAAAAGAGCTATACTTACCCCATAGACTAGTTCTCCAACCATCCCATTCCAAATTTTTGTGTCTGCGTCCCTGGCCCCATACTTGCCATCCCCAACAATTGTCAACTTGTACTTGAACCCACAATGTTTGGCGATTTCTGCGGCCAAGTCAACACAGTAGCCCTCATAGCGCTCGTTGCCTTCAAGCATTTCATGATTTTTCTTCATCATAACGTATGGGGATTCCTGTGTGGAGAGACAGTGTTTTAGCGAGCTCACTGTCTCTAACACTCGTAGTTACCTCACTGACTCTAACATTCTGAGTCAATAATTTCCCATCAGCCAGAAACATTATAGATTACAAATGATAGAAAACATTGAGAGTTTAATCATTAGGCTTCTGAATAAAATCTTCAATTGTCTAATTAAAAAACACTTGTCATTAAAATGGCTGGAATTGGCTGCACCAGGGTGACCAAGGTATTCAAAGCACAACATACTGGTATGCTCACTTTTCATGTCTATAATTCCTAGCATTTAGAAAAGACGAATGCCCCACAATATATGTGATCACATTCTTGGTCCTCTACTTCTTATTTTAGATGGAAACAAAAATCCAAGAACCAGCATTCACTCCAAACTCTGTCATTGCTGACTTAAGGGATAAAGCTTATGTACAAATCAGGTTCATGCCCAATTACAACCAGGCTGAAAGCATCCTTGTCAGGAAGGTGTGCTGATTCTATCTTATACCTAGGCTCCAAGAATGATGCCACAAGGATAGCTGCATAATAGCTTTAGCTGTCGATGTAAGAGAGAGAACCCATGGCTAGACATCAACCCAGTTTTACTCCCACATACATGCTCACTGATAGCACTCTCCAGCAGCCCTAGTTGCATAGTGTTTATGCACTTGGCTTATGCACTTGGAGTATGCACTTGGCAAGGTCAACAGTCTCAAACCATCAGCCACTCCTTGGGAGAAAGACAAGGTTTTCTACTTCCATAAAGAATTACAGACTGGAAACCTACAGGAACAGTTTTATCTTGCCCTAAAGGGTCACTAGGAGTCAGCATTCACACAATGGTAGTTTGTTTAGGACTCTCCAATGTTGTTTTTGTTTTTTAAAAAGGACATAAAATTGTATTCTATTAGTCTAATATTTTCCCCTTAAATTTTCCCCCAAAGCTTGTTATGATGATAGATACTTCTCTTCCACTTATCTAAAGTTTAGATATACAAGAACCAGTTCAGTTTTGCCTCATTTATTAAACATTTATGTATTTTAAGCTAGTTATTCGTCAGGCATTTTGTTCAACCTGTTTTTGAGAAGTTCACTTTTTAGTGTGAAGAAAGAGGAATAGACAACATTATTAAACTGTGTTACGGATGTAAAGATAAAGGTTTACCCAGATTGGTTTGAGAATAGAGAGGCAGCACTCTTGTGAATGGCAAGGAACATTCTTTGACGATTTTCCCCAAATGCTTCTGTTTGTACGCACCGAGGTTACAAACTGTTATCAAGCTACCCTACAGTGTCGTCTGCAGAGGTGACGGAACTTTTAAACATTTCAACCAGGTTTTTTTTTTTTAAGTCCTTTTATCAGAGTAATTATGCAATAATTTTAACAAAACATTACAAAAGCAACACTGTGGGGAGTCTTAAAATATAAACAGCAACGTTTCTTACAGAATTTTTTATGAGGAAAAACAAGCATATATAACTACTTACCAAAATTGTCGTGACAACAACTGTCTTATTCTCAAGCCCGGACGTGTCGTTTCCAGAAGGGAGTTCCGTGAGGGTAACAACCATTTTGTCAACTTCACTCCAGTATCCAATCTGAAAAAGGTCGGGGCAGGTAGACACAAAGATAAACGATCCGTCTTTTAGCAACGCATTCCACGACTTTTACTGGATGTCGGAATTCCAAATTACCCCCAAATTAGGCTGGCTTCCATCTTAGCAGAGATGTGTCTTTTGTGTATGGAGATTTATTGAGACTAGAAAGGAACTATACAAACAAAAAGGTTTTTTTAGAGATAGCTTCTCTCTTCGTGTTCACTTTTTGTAAGCTCTGCGTTTCATTTGTGTGTGACCGATCATTGAGAAATATTAGTAAATTAAAAACACCTGCTGTCACATTGAAGAGAAAGTTGCTAACCTTGAAGTTGCAAGCACTTTTTCACCACGTTATTTTTAGCTGTTTAAAACTTTCAGCAATAACTCATGCTTTCATATTCCAGGTGTTAAAAAATAATAATCATTATACTTTTAATGTAAATTCTACTTCTGGAGAACTTGCCAGAATTGAATATATTTAGAAAAGCTTAAAAATATTTATGTCTGTGTTGGTAGGCGCTGAATTGTATGTGACTGCAAACATCCATGGGTACTTGGGCAAGGGAGATGACCATTTAGCAAACTCACCACGTTACAGAAAGAACGTCTCAAAATTGTAAAGGATTACCTTCCGGGGCCCATTCGTTTTCAACTCCATGATGTTAATTGTATAGTTTATTCGTTTTCCGTTCTGGTCAAACTTTATATTTCCGGAGAGTCCTTCAACTTGAACCTAAAGAGGAAATGGGAAAGAGGCACAGTTGTGGATGTGCTTCAACTACAGGTGCAAACTTTACAGACTATGCCTCCCTGTGTTCAGTTGAAGAAAACTGGACTGGAAGCGTTCTTTCCTTTCTGCAACTTACCTTTTTGTAGGGAGGGACTAATATTCTGTGTATATCAAGCTTATGCATTAAAAGAAAGATAAATAGTTCAACAGCAACAACGAAGTGTGGCCATGCTAAAATCGCGTGAACAGTCATCGTGAGTGACTTACCTGCTTCAGAGCCCTTTCTATCTCTACACCTTGTCCCCAGGGCACGGCTGGGTTTGCCAGACAGTCGCCAGCATTCCCCCTTCGGGAGATTTCAATCCTCTGTTTCCGAAGATTTCGGAAAGCTTCAGTCATGACTTGCACTGCATCATAGGTCAAAGCAGACGTATACTGAAAAGGATCACATGTGTTTCATTAAGAATTGGGAAGCAATCAGAAACACCTTGGTGTTCAGCTGTCAGCCACACAAGAACGAAAACAATTTCCACATCCAGAAACGTAAGAATGTAAGACATATAGCTTAAAGTAGCAAGAGGATGAATTGGGCTCTTAATCACATATTTCCTAATCAATTAACCTCTCAACTATCCTAAGTGAGACAATTCCATAACCATTATGACAATGGTATTTCTAATCAGTTTCTTCTAGAATTATAGTATGGCTTTGGCTATGTGTCAACTTGATGGCAGTGAGTTTATGATGAAGAAGAAATTAAGACATACATATTTCTTCACTGCTTAATAAGAGATTTATCCTGGCAACATGAAGAATACTGTCTAGTTCAGAATCCCAAAGCATGAATTCACCACTGGTTATATGTTCTTATGTATCTGCCATGGACTTAGAAGTGGATGTTTGTTTTTAAATTCCCCTGGCTTATTCTGATAATCAAGTAAGTTCTGTAAATTATTCTGGTAATCATAATTTCCCTATAATCTCCCAGCTTTACCAGCCTATGATAATACCAGTTCCAATATATGATATTCTGCTCCGAGAGGGTGGCAGCACTATTGTTGAAGCTTAACATCAAATAAGGGGGGGGAAAGCAACATGTATCAAGAATTGTCAGTGGTTAAGTAGTATTGCTTCTGTATGTTGCCAATCTATTAAATGTCTGACTCTTCTCTCGTGAATGACAGATTGCAGTTGAATCTAAATCATTTCTGAATGCTAAAACATTTACATCAGGTGAGTCTCAGTCTGTGAGTATTTAAGGTACAGTGGAGTGGCCATCCAGGGGACAATTCAATTCCTTACTGATATTGTGACCAGAAATCCAAAAACTGGCTCTCAATATTTTCAACTAATTCTCCTACATTCCTCAGTAGACCATTTCATCAGCTTTCAAAAATGAAGACTTCATATTTCCTTTAATTTCCTCAAAACTCCAGTACCTCCTCACACTTAGCTGGTTATCTGACTTTCCATATCACGAAGAAAGTAAAAGTCTAGCACAAGAACTCACTTCCATGTCCCCCATGAAATCACGGGCTTCCCCCATTGTCTGTTTGCTTCTTCACCACAGGTGATACGTGAACTGGCCATATCTTTTTTCCCTTCAGAGAAATATTATTTGAAAGGAATTGTCCTTCTCTTACAGTGATCGACCTCTATGATTTTATATTCCTCTCGGATGTTCAAATACAATGTCCTCTGTGATAGCCTTCCAGTTCAGTTCGCTTACAGGAACTCTCCGTCATGGAACCATGCTTATGAAGGGGCTTCCACATGCTTGTGGAAAAAGCTCATTATCTATTGATTACATTTTCTATAAACCTTTGAAAACCTTCTCATTTGAAAATTAGATATACACTCATCCTTTTGACTGCGGTTAGGTGCCGGTGCTTCAGAAGCAAGCACTTTCTGGGCCCGGGTCATTCGCACAGTTGTCATCTTTGTTCTCGTGGTGGTGGCCACTGTGCCTACCCATCACCTTGAATATTGTCCTTTTTGTATATTGACCTACTTTACCAAGCATGGGGGTCCTTATTCAGGAATTGGTCTTCTTGATAACTTGTCCAAATTATGTGAGACAAAGTCTCTCCTCCCTTGCTTTTTGTGGGGTAGTGAAATTATTTCATATGCTTTTTCCACCCGTCTCTGTAATGCCCACCACATGATTTCAGTCATCTCATATGTATGTAAAAGCTGGACATTGAATAAGGAAAACGGAAGAAGAATCAATGCATTTGAATTATAGTACTGGTGACGAATATTGACAGACTGCCAAAAGGACAAACATATTCGTTTTGGAAGAAGTACAGCCAGAATGCTTCTTAGCATCAAGAGCATGGTGAGACTTTTTCTCACATACTTGGTACATGTTGCCCGGAGAGACCAGTCCACGGAGGAGGACATCGTACTTGGTAGTGTAGAGAGGCAGCCAGAAAGAGGAAGGCCTTCACAAAGATCGATTGAGACAGTGGCTGCAGCAATGGGCTCAAACATGGGAACAACGGAGGATAGTGTTGGGCCAGGCAAATGTTTCCTTCTGTTGTACCCAGGGTCAGTGTGGGCTGAACTGAGACAACCCCACCTGACAACAAGAACATGCAAACATCGTTTTTGCAACACTAATAGACGGGATTGATCTGCTTCTGTTACTATGGACACTCATATCAACCGTATAGGACGTGAGGAAACCGTTCCTGGGATTTCTGAGGGTTTAAATTTTTATAGGAACAGAAAGCCTAATCTTTATCTGCAGATTGTCTGGTGGGTTCAAACTGCTGACCTTGCAGTTAACAGCCTAATGCATAGCCCTCTGCATTACCAGGGACCCTTCTTTTAAATAGAAATGTTTTATAATAGAGCGACAGGAATATAGTATACAAGGTATGATTTATATCCTGTATGTTGCTTTAAGTGACCATTTTTACACGAAGATGAATGAGGCGAGGTTTTTATTCATTTAATCCTTTGCATGGTTTAGTTTCATTTCGTTGAATGGCTTTTATTTTAACATATAAATGAGTCAACCTTGATGGGAGAATGGAGGGGACGAAAGAAGAGGAAAAGATGATTGTGAGGCTTCTTACAATAAGACTGTTTTAACTGCTATAAAATATTCAGATTTACCTCTAAATTTTCTTTCTGAAAATTTTCTCATCTGCTACTGGCCAACCAATGCCATTACAGGTCTGAATTCCAGTTCTTCTCTAATACCTAAATATTTTCAGAATGGTTTCACTTGAATTTCCCATCGACAGGTCAAATGAATCAGATTCAAGTAAAACCCACTTTCATTGCTTCCCAAGCTTACTATTTCTTCCTTAAAACTATAGAGTGAAGAAATTATTCTTTACATAGTAGGTTGCACATCCCTTTAAGCAGCTTATGTTTCAGAATCCAATATCTTATTATTGGTAATTGATATTAATAAAACAGAAAATGTCATGCAAATATATTAATCTGTTTATTTTGAATATTACTATAATATGCAAAAATTAAAGCAATCTATATCGCCAATAATGAGGTAATGTCTAAATAAACTATCCTTCCCACCTTAAAATATGATCACACAGCCATTAAAGGTGATAATCATAAAGATTATTTAACAATATAAATTTAATTTTTATAAAGCAACAAATTAAAACCTATTACAACTAAAATAAAATATATAAACGTGTTACTAAAACCATTAGAGAAGGTAACCAAGCGGCCATCAAGCTCAGAAGCAACAAAGCCCACATGGAAGAAGCACACCAGCCTATGCAACCACGAGGTGTCGAAGGGATCAGGTGTAAGGCATCATCAGAACAAAAAATCTCACCATAGTGAATGATGGGGGGAGTGCGGAGTGGAAATCCAAAGCCCATTAGTAGGCCACTGGAGATCCCCTTGCAGAGGGGTCTCGGGGAGGAGATGAGCCAGTCAGGGTGCAATGTAACAATGATGAGAAATACAACTTTCCTCTAGTTCCTAAATGTTTCCTCCCCACTCCCACTACCATGACTTGAATTCGATCTTGCAAGTCTGGCTAGACCAGAGGAGGTACACTGGTACAGATAGGAACTGAAAATACAGGGAATCCAGGATGGATGAGCCCTATAGGACCAGTGGTGTGAGTGGCAAAACAGGGAGGGTAAAGGGAGAATGGGTAGGAAAGAGGGAACCGATTACATGGAACTGTGTCTGACCTCCTCCCTCGGGGGACAGACAACCGAAAAGTGGATGAAGGGAGACGTCGGACAGGGCAAGATATGTCAAAATACCCATTTATAAACTATCAAGGGCTCATGAGGGAGGGGGGAGCGGGGAGGGAGGGGGAAAACGAGGACCTAATGTCGGGGGTTTAAATGGAGAGAAAATGTTTTGAGAAACGATGTACAAATGCGCTTTACACAATGGATGTGTGTATGGATTGGGATAACAGTTGTATGAGCCCCTAATAAAATGTTATTAAAAAAAAAAAACCATGAGAGAAACAAACATAATGATTAAAATCTTTCCACCAATAGGAGAAAAGAACAAATCAAGATAGTTATCACAATAGGTAGGTAAAATTATTTCCCAATTATTTTATAATACCAACATGCCATTTTATTTTTTTAATTGTATTATAGTAAGGGCATTGTTTTCAATCATATTAAGTTAACAAATGACTTTTCAGCACAAGTAATGAATATCTCAGTACATATCTACGTCTGACGAAGTATGGGAAGAGCTCACTTGTCTATGCCAAGCAACTTGCGAGGACCGTCTGTGAGTTCTGTTTGACCATAGCAACGAATGATCACACCCGGCATACATACAAAGTGGTATGGGAGGAACCACTGGCTAACCGACTAGAGAGATCCATATTTGACCCTATTGCAAAACAAGGTGTCTGAACAGAATGTGCAAATGATAGAACAATATCATTAATGTCAAGCAAATGAAAGTGTGCTGATTATCATCCCACAACAGTTGCAGCAGTACATTGGCAGGGAGTTGCCAGAAATCCAGGTGAGATTCAGAAGAGAAAGTGGACAAGGGATGGCATGACTGGTGCCAAATGGAGCTTGGGTGAAAGCATAGAATATCAGAAAATTATTTTCTTGTGTCTTGTTGACTATGTGAAGATATTCAACTGTGTGGACCATAAAAAACCATGGGTAGACTTGAGAAGAAAGGGAATTTCAGAGCGGTTGTACATGGACCAACAAGCAGTTGCATAAACAGAACAAGGGAATGCTGTATGGGTTAAAATCAGGAAAAGCGTGCTGCAGGGTTGTCTCCTCTCAGCATCCTTATTCAATCGCCCTGTGGAGAAAAAAATCTGAAAAATTGGAATAAATGAAGATGAACGTGGCATCAGGATTGGAAGAAGTCTCAGGACAACCTTGGATAGATAGACAGAAAGCACCATTTTGCTTCTGAAAGGGAGGAAGGCTTGAAGCACTAGTTGA